CACTCTCTCTCAGGTCTCTGCACACACGTTCTGCATTTCGCGCCACAACAAGATCTTTAAACTCTGCATCAAGGGGAGGTCTTTATTAAGGTGGGGTGGTCTGTAAGCCTGCGTAATGTCATCCCTGTGCACCGCTAACAAGCTCGTACATCTACAGGGCCATGAGGAAGTGCAAGGACACAGTTTTCAAAGCCAGGTACGTACCGGGACAGTCTGCGTCACGTAGATCCCGCCACTGATGCTTTCGCATGCGCAGTGCGTCATATACCGCGTGGAGATGCCTCTAACCCGCACCCATGTCGTCCTCCCGCGTATGGGCTCCTGCTGACGGGTTCGCACTTGCAGCCGGCCGCGTGTGGCGTCGCGACGCCTGCGGCTGCAGTGAATCCGTGCACGCCCCGCTCGTGCATGTCTAACGAAACCCTGCAAATGCGAAACGGTCAGGATCGTGGAGGACGCGATGCTCGGCGCGAGGTATGCGCTGATTTGGTCCTCGTCGGGTACGGGCCACCGCTGACGAGTCCGTGCTTCCAGGCAGCTGCATACCGCATCTAGACGCCTGTGGAGGTGCACAAGCACAGTGAGTGTCAGTCGTCTCGCGTCGAGAGTGCCCTGCTGACTCACGGGATTGACAGGCTCACGCCGTGAGGTTGAAGAAGCCCCGGCCAGTCTTGACAGCGCGTACGAGGGTGGGTATGAGGTGGGAGAGAGCAGGAGGGCGGCGGAGACGTACCGTAGTTGTACATAAGTAGTAGATAGGCGTAGTAGAACGCCGTTTCCGCGGTGTTCGCGGCAAGGCGAGCTTGCGGGCACTCGAACGGCTCCCTCAGCGCGGACGCCTGGTACCTGGTACGTCAGCCCATCGATATCCGTCGATAAGCTTGCTGATGTACTTTAATGCAGGGTGTCGACAGGATTCTGGCAGAACGGTGGCAGATCTGAGGAGATCTAGCCCGGGTGGGGTGTGCTGGGTGTCCAGACGGCCCCAGGGCAGGTAAGTACAGTGTGTAATGGGCGTAATATCGCACCTCACCTGTCAACAGCCCGTAGTATCCATACGCGCCGGAATCGCGGTGTTTGGCGGGGGTGGAGGGCGGGAGGAGGCAAGTCGAGGGAGGTCGCCGTCTAGGCGCCCATGTACGTTGCACGTTTGCGAACCGCTGCATCAATCGACACAATTCCTTCGCGTCTTGAGAGAGCCAGCCGCCCTCTCTCGATCTGTGGCGATTTCACAGAGGTTCGGAAAGCCCGTTGGGCTTCCCGGGGCCACATCACCGCGTCCCGCGCGACAGGCATGCGTGTCCGGGCCTGAGAACCGCATTTCTGGACTTCCATGGAGGTCAGCATCGCATGTTATATTAGTGGCTCGGCCGCAAACGCACCCGTGGAGGAGCTGTCCAAGAGGGCGGCGGTTGGGCGCCTATGGGGGTGAGGGAGTCGGCGGGGAGATGGCGCGATTTCCCGCGCTTTGAGGGTGTTTATAGCGCGCTTGAAACGTCCAGGGTGTCGTCCAGGGCGAGGGTGAGTAGCCTGGAGGGTGTGGGGGTGGTGAGCGATGAGGTGAGGGCCGAGGAGCACCACCGGGCCAGCGAGGGCTGCAGGTGTTGAACTTCTGTGTCTACGGCTGTGCCGGACCGGGAGTGGCAGTGATAGTGGCTGTGCGTCTACCATACGCCAGCATGGACTTTCCTACTTACCATATACGTACATTCTTTTGTTCTGTACTTACTTGGCATCCTGCCATCCCTCCACATGATTCTGGTACGTTCTACGATGTTCCGGACTATTCTAGACAGCGTCCGGATTACTCGCATTACTCAGCCATGGGACTATCTGACCTTATGTCGATTTATGCTCCCTTTACTCAGCGTTACTCATCGCTCAGTCAGCGTCCCTCTGGACGTCACATG